GCATTGTAAATTTTGGTCAATGACATGAGACAAAGTATATGTGAACTGCTGTATGAAAAGTGAATTTACTCTGTAAATCTTCACCCAAATCCTAATTTAAAAAAAAAAAAAAGCCCCTCGACTTTGGGCTTCAGCTCTGCCTCTTGCTCCCGGCCCACTGAAGCTAAAGGCACCCCTTCACTCCGGCAGCTACCGGCTGCTGAGGCCAATAAGCCCAACGTCAACAAATAAAATGGCATAGTCCCGATGTTACCAAACCACACGGCAAGCCATTAATTCAAATCCATTCAAAGTCCCAGGGTCGGCAGAGCATGGCAGGCTGCTGAACAATAACACGGGTTTATGCAGGGTTCAAGCATGCCATAAGCCAGAGACTGTTCCCCAAGACTTCTCCTTATATACAGGAAGCAGACCACGTCCATAAGGCAGCCACTCAGCTCCTCACAGTAGATTCCACCATGAAATTGATCACCAGTCTCATCATGGACAATACTACATCCAGCTGCCTAGCCACTCAGCCAGGCCCAGGAAGTTGACACACAAACTTAACCATCACACCAGATATTCCATTTTCTCCTTCTGTTTGTGACTCCTCCTTCCTCTTTACTCCAGGTGAATGGAGACCGATTGTTTCTTGGATACCTCAAATTTAATATATCCAGATGCGCAGACTTCCCTCTTCCATCATCTGAGTAAATCTCAATAGATAGTACCACTAGTTCTGAGTTGCTCAAGCCATCAATCTGAGAGTCATACTTAACTCTTTCTTTTTACTCCTCTCCCCATTCTTAATGGATTCTACCTACCAAATAGTATGAGTCTGTCAACTTCTCCATGTCTAACTCTGGCCTGTTGCCTGTCACTTTGAAAGATATAATAACCTTTTTAGTAATTTCTATGTTTTATTTCAGTCCCTCTTAATACTGTCTTCATAAATGATCTTTCTAAATAGGATCTCTTGTTTAATAGCTTTCCAGTGCCTTTAAGTTAAATTTAGAACTCCTGCCTTCCCTTACTCCTCTAGGTTCTGGCATGTTGAATTGATCTTCTTTGTGTCACAAGCAGTTTTTTCTTTCTGACCTTTTTAATCTGAAAGGATTTCCTGGGTCCTGGAGTAGTCTCCTTGTATTAAGTGCCCATGAAATTGTTTCTTTCCTTTGTAATACCAATTGTTGTACTTAATTCATTGTTACCTGTCTTTCCCAATACCCATAAATTACATGAAACAGAGACTATGTCTGTCTAGTAGGTATCTTCATCGTCTAGGAAATACTTTTCTAAATAGTAAAGGCACAACAGTAGTTGATTAAAGAAAAGAAATTTATTTATTTTTTGAATATAAGGTCTTAACAATTATTTCGAGCCACTTGTTATAGTGAAATGTGCCTAGAGCTTGGAATCTCTTTTCCAGGTCTGTGACCTTAGACATTGAACCTTAGTTTATTTAGGCAGACTAATAATTTGTGGGAGCTCTGGTAGCATAGTGGCTAAGACATGCCTGCTAACCAGCCAGCTGGGGGTTCAAACCCACCAGCCACTCCTCGGAAGGAAGGTTGAGCAATCCTACTTCCGTAGTGATACTGCCTCGGAAACCCAAGGAGGGGTCGCTATGAGTCGGGGCCGACTCGACGGCACATAACAACAACAATAATTTGTGGTAGATTAACTTGCAATTATTAACAGTATTACGAGTTAGTGAAGGAACTCTGGTAGCGTAGTACCTAAGGCACTTGACTGCTAGCCAGAAGGCTGGTGGTTCAAACCCACCAGCCACTCCTTGGAAAGAAAGTTGGACAATCCACTTTCAGTGATACTGCCTTGGAAACCCAAGGAGGGGTCACTATGAGATGGATCCAACTTGACAGCACATGACAACAACAACAGCAAGGAGTTAGTGAATAAAAGGCTGTAATAGTTCCTAGCACATATAACACACAGAAATGTATGTTCCCTTTTTTCACTGTTTTCATGTTCTCTCTCATACACAGGACACACACCACAGTAGGATAAGATTTTTGACTGGTAATGTTGGGTTCCTTTTAAAAATAAAAAATAATTTAATTAAAAACTCTAATATAATCTCTTTAAATCTTAAAGGTACTGATTTTTAATCTATGTATGGACCCTTTCTTTACCTTTAGAAAGCATCAAGTGGAGAGAGGTGTCACATTATGACTGAATGCTGTTCTTAAGAAAATAGTGTACAAATAGCTTATGTTGTCATTTTATGAAGGGTGAACTTCTGTTCTCTTTTAATCCTGCAGTAAGTTCATAAAGTGACTTTGGAATATATTAGATATTTTTATTTCTTACTAATCTATTCTATATTAAATGTGAAAATGTATATGTATGTATATTATAAATCACATTTTTATGAAATTAGCTTAGAATATCTTGTTAGTAAATGTTGAATTTCTGTTATGTGAGCTTTGTGAATTTAGACATACTGTGATCACAGGGATTATTAGAAGTTGTTAATGTGATTCCTGTTGTAACTTGGAAAAATAAGCTAAGATGTCATGAATATTTTCGTGTGTGGTTTTATCATAACAGGTTTTTTTTTTTCAGTTTCATGTATTTGGTTCTAGATTATGTAATTTTTTGTTTTTCCCATCAACATTGTTAACTTTCAAACAGCTATTGGAGTTTCTAATCTTTTTCACTAAAAATATTTTTGTAATGCTGTTAAAATACATGCAGCCATTTATATGAAAAAAATCTAAATTTCTCATATGGAATATTCACTGTCTCCTTTGAAAAATAATTTTCAAATGTTTTAAAATTATTTATTGTGGTAAGATACAAATAACAAGAAAAATCATCTTAACCATTTTTAAACGTGTAATTAATTGTATTAGTTACATTTACCATGTTGTGCAGCCATGCCAATTGTCCGTTTCCAAATGTTTTTCACCCCCTCGAACAAAACATAGTACCCACTAAGCAGTAACTACCTTTCCTCTCCCACACCCCAGCCCTTGGAAGCCACTAATACATATGCATTTTGAAGGAGAAATTCATTTGTGTGTTCACAGAAAACCTTTTATGAAAGTGTTATATTGATTTATTTTAAGTATCTAATTATTAAATTTATCATAGTAAACTTTTGGTTCATATAATATCTTTTCAAGTGACAGTCTTAGTTTGGAGTAAAATATCAAGTGATAAATAATAATTGGAGTTTTGATAGCTTTAGGGGTTTATACTTGGATGATAGATATGGAAGGTGATGATTTAAGATTGTTCTTACAATATGCAGCAGTCATGGAAAGTAAAACAAATGAAGGCAAGATTGGGTATGTAGTTATTGGAGTCATTCCACTTGGAGGTGATTTCAGAGTATTACCTTTGGTAATAAAAAAACCAAAAAACCAAACTCACTGCCGTGAAATCGAATCCACCTCAGAGCAACCCCTCCTTAGGTTTCCAAGGAGGTATCTCTACAGAAGTAGATTGCCCAGTTTTCCTTCTGAGGAGTGACCGATAGGTTTGAACCACCAGCCTTCTGGTTAGCAGTCAAATGCCTTAGGCACTATGCCACCAGAGCTCCCACCTTTGTTAATAAAGAAGAGTAAATCAGATTTTGAAGGAAAACGAAACTTGGTAGGAGACATTCACAATGTCTTTAGAGTTTCTCTTGTAAGAGAACAGCTATTTGGAATGAAACAAGTTTTGGGCTGTGCAGTTTTGAAGGGAAGTACATATTTTATTTCAATACAATAGGTTTGAGGTGATGATAAGATATCAAGTGAAACTATTGGAATACATATCCACGTGAAGTGAAGAACCAGCTTCTCTTAGCATTTATCTAAACTCATAAATAAAAGTTTAAATTAACCGACTTTTTTTCCTCATGAAGAAAGTAATTGAATTTGGCCTCCTGTTTACTGGATTTGAACTGTTGAATTGTTTTCTTTTCATGCTGTAGTTCACAAAGATGTCCAAAACTAACGGATTATCAGAAGATTTGATATGGAACTGTAAAACACTGATCCAAGAAAGGGATGTTGTTATAAAGCTGATGAACAAATGTGAAGACATTTCAAATAAATTGACAAAACAAGTTACCATGCTTACTGGAAATGGAGGTGGATGGAACATAGAACAACCCTCTATTCTAAACCAAAGGTAATTTTGTTGTACGGGCTTATTCATAATTTTATCTCAGTTGTATAAAATTTCTGAACTTACTTCTGTAGTGTGCCTGAAGCAATTAAATGTGGAAGTGAAAAGAAGACTAAAGTTTGAAGAAAAATCCAAGTTTGCTATAATGACACATAAAGTATATATGAATTGTTTTCTGTTGTTTCTTTTTTCCTTCCCTCAATAGGGTACTTTAGTTCATTACACTATTAAAAATTAGAAGAAAAAATCTGTTACAGTATTACATAATCTGTGTCTTCCTTATTTGATAATAGATCATTTGTGTAAAATGACAAAAACAAAAGAAGTGATTTTAACTATTCTTGTACATTAATTTGGGTTTTCAAAAAAGTCAGCTGCTTAATTACATCAGTTTAAAAAATTATGATGATCTAGTATTTTTTTAATCACAAGTAAAATGGAATGACTAAAATATTCTGTGTCTGTCATGAAATGTTTAAGATGCTTTCAAAAGTTCAGATTTTTAAATCTCCTTTTAAGGTGGGAAAACCTCAGACAGGGCAAGGGCACTTTTATTAAATAGATGATTATGTAAGTATACAAATTCCCCAGAACTGCCACTTTCAGTGAAATACCTTGTCAGGATTTTTACAAAAAAATAAACACTATATTACGTTTACTAAAACATTTGTCCAATAGCCGGTACATATAAAAATGGCATTTCGTAATTATAGATATTTTTTTGTCTTGGTGATTGGATGGGAGAAATTTTTTTGAAATTATTTTAAAATTTATTTTTATGCAGTTTGGGGACTCAACTATTCAGAATATTTTCTTTTATTAAAATGGTACAAAATTGTTTGCTATGATTGTTTTTGGTAGCAAAAACGTGGAAACAGTTCTAGTTCACAGAATCAAGGAAAAGTTAAATGAGTTATGCTATATCCATAACTACCCCATGTTATGCAACTTTAGCAGAGTTACATCTGTTTAGAGTATTTCTGATAGGTATCTTAATAAGATTAGCAGTAGGGTTTCATTAAAATTTATTACTTTAGTTGATGATTTTGTTTACTTCTGCTGATAGTTTTCTAAGTAAATGATCAAAGCATATTTGCCTGATCATTGATTAATAATTAAAAATCAAGGTATGATTACTGGCCTCTACAGTAAGCTACAATCTTTTCTGTACCCTTCTAGGGTGCTATGGGATGGTGTAGGGAAACGTGATGCAGTTCCCACAAAGAAGCTCTTTTCTCTGTTGCGTAGAAAGAACTATGGCCATATCAGCAAATTCATCTCCTAAAAGTGTAGTTGGAGCTGCTGCTTCTTGTTCTCCAGCATTGGATATGGAGAGTTCTTCACTCTACAAGACTTACCCAGTTGAGTCTCCTTTATCATAATTTGGATTTTAAAAAATCAAGTGCTTTATTGCATCACTTAAAAAATTTCTCTCCTAAACCCACATTCACAAAGTCCTGTTACTTGTAAATAGTATGATCAGGTAATAAATTATCCTTTTCATTGGACTAAGATTTTTTTTTTCTTAAATGAAATATTTAATAGATGAGAAAGATAGTTTTGTTCTTTGTTTTTATTTTATATATATCTATATATCTATATATATAGATATATAGATATATATAGATATATAGATATATATATAGATATGGATATATAGATATCTTTTGCTTTTTAAAAAGTGTTTATCAGATCTAGTCCAAACTTCAACTGCCAAAATCTGTATAGATAGTTCCTTTAAGTTTATTTAAATGCACTTTTAGGGGGTGAAATTTGTTGTTTTTGGTTTGTTTTTGTTTTTAGCCAAGGTAAGAGTTGCATAAGCAATTTTTACTTGGTGTCCTGGCCAGGCATATGGCTTATTATAGAGACTATTGAAGTACTTTCCTTGCCTTGGGAAAGGATTTAATAGCACAGAAGAGAATATTAGAATATCTCGATGAATAGCCTATTATACTTGGCATCTTTCTCTTAAATTCTTTGTAGCAAAATTTACTCTGTAAATTTTTTATTTTTTCCATAGTTTTATATGAATTTGAAAAGAAGAAAATTTGCTTTTCAGAGATAAAGGAAATAAAGACACAGCATAAATCCTTGTTAAAAATAAAGTCTTTTCAGGGAAAAATAAAATTTTTCACATGGGCCTTAAAACCAATAAATTGATAACCTTGATTTTAAAGTGTCAAAATTGAAATTGCCTAAATTTAAATGAATGTATACCTACTCCTCGCTTACCAACTGTCATTATCCAACATTTCACATTTTGACAGTTATAAAAAAATCTGTCCAACTATCTTGGGCATTAACAGTTGTACGTCTGGCAATAATGAACACCAAGTTGTAAGGCAAGAGTACTGGTAGCTGTGATGAAGTTAATAATATGTAGGATCAACTGTTTAATCAGATTACTGTATTTTCTCTCAAATAATGCACCTGTGTAAATAACACCCACACATATAACATACCATAGGCCATTTACGAAAATAGTACAGAGAAGAGGTAGTGTAGTTGGCAGAAAAAAAAAAAGTGTGTAAAACATGCATTGTTTGCATAAAACTACATTGAATGAAGTAATAATGTAAATTACATAGTATAGTGTTTGGCATGTGGTAAACATTCCAAATGTTAACATTTACTCTAGTTCAATTAAATTTAAGTGTTTATGGTAATATGGTATACATAGTATTACTTTTGGTGGTAACATAGAAACTTATTGACCAAGAAGGCAAAAGATGTTTTTAAAAATCCAAAGAACCACAAAGACCTCATGATACTGCTGATTTTTTTCCCTACCAATATCATAATATTTTTAAAATTTTTTTGTAATTGAGAATATATACAGCAGAACATACGCCAATTCAGCATATTCTAAATGTACAGTTCAGTAACATTGATTCCATTCTTTGATTTGTGCAAACATTCTCATACTCTTTTCTGAGTTGAACCTCCCCAATGAACATACATTAACTTATTCCTCGTACCTAATCTTTTGAGTTGCTGTTGTCAATTGGATTCCATATAGATGGATCTTAAGGAGAACAGTGCTCAAGGCAGACATTGTTTACTGGTTAAGCTAAACTGTTGGTTACTTTTAAGAGTTCCAGGTTTATTTGTTTGTCTGTTTGTTTGTTTGTTTAATTGTGATTTGGGTGAAAGTTTAGAGAGCAAATTCACTTTCCATACAGCAGTTCGCATACACCTTGTCTCAGAATATTGACTACATTTTACCACAATGCAACAGCTCCCCTCCCACTTTCTCCCCATAGTTAACCTCTTCATTGTGTCTATCCTTTCATACACTCCTGCCCTCCAAGCTATCTTCCTGTGCATACACAGCCCTTCTATTCTCCCATGATTATTCTTTCCAAAGAGTGTATTTACCTAGTGTAAATGTTGACTTTATGTGCCTGTCTTTTGTTTGGCTGGAAGCCACAAAAGTAGGTTCAATTCCAGATCTGAAGGGCAGCTAGGGGCCATAGTCTCAGAGGTTCCACCAGGCTCTATCAGACCAGCAAACTTGGCCCTCAAAGTTTATTTTTAGCTTAAGAGTTAAAGATTATCTCAGGGCAGTAGTTTCAGGGGTTCAACCAGCTTCCATGTCTCCAGAAATGCAGCATTCCATGAAAACTTCAAATTTTGGCCTGAAGTTGCCCCCTTTTGATCAGCATTCTTCTATAAAGTCTTTGACCAAAATGCTTAGCAATGATTTCCAGACAACATCCAGTTCTTCTGGCACCATGGCAAAAGAGATAGTTGTTCATGGAGGCTAATTGCCACACCTTTCCATTTCCTTTTCCCATTCCTGACTTACTCATCTCTTGTTTGTCGTACTGTGGTGGCTTGTGTGTTGCTTTGAGGCTGGAAGCTGTGCCACCGGTATTTAAAATACCAGCAGGGTCACCCGTGGTGGACATGTTTGAGTGGAACCTCCAGACTAAGACAGACAAGGAAGGACAGGACCATCCACTTGAAAAAATTGGCTACTGAAAACCTCAGGAATGGCAGTGAAACATTGTCTGATACATTACTGGAAAACTTTACAAATAACAATGAGACATTGTCTTATGCAGTGCAGGAAGATGAGCCCACCAGGTTGGAAACAAAAACCAAACTCACTACCATTGAGTCAGTTCTGACTCATAGTGACCCCCATTGGGTTTCCAAGGCTGTAAATCTTCATGGAAGCAGATTGCCTTATCTCTGTCTTGCAGAGCAGCTGGTAGGTTCAAACCACTGACCTTTTGGTTGCCAGCTCAGTGTCTTAACCACTACACCACCAGAGGTCCTTATCAGGTTGAAAAGCACTCAAAATATGACTGGGAAAGAACTGCCTCTACAAACAAAGTTGACCTTAATGACATGGATGCAGTAAAACTTCATTCATTTGTTGATGTGTCATGACTCAAAATGAGAAGAAACAGTTGTAAACATTTATATTTGGAACATGAAATGTATGAAGTATGAATCTAGGAAAATTGGAAGTTGTCAAAAATGAAATGGGATGCACAGAGTTCGATACCCTAGGCATTAGTGAACTGAAAATGGACTGTTACTGGGCATTTTGAATCTGACAATCATATGGTCTACTATTCTGGGAATGACAAAGAAGAATGGTGTCATGTTCATCATCAAAGAGAACGTTTCAAGATCTATCCCAGAGTACAGTGCCATCAGTGATAGGATAATATCCATACACCTACAAGGAAGACCAGTTACTATTACTATAACTCAGACTTGTGTATCAACCACTAAAGCCAAAGATAAAGAAATGAAGATTTTTACCAACTTGTACAGTGTGAAAATTTCCAAACTTGTAATCAAGATGTATTGATTATTGCTGGTGATTGGAATGCAAAAGTTGGAAACAAAAAAGAAGCATCAGTAATTGGGAAATATGGCTTTTGTGAAAGAAATGACACTGGGGACTGCATGATAGAATTTTGCAACACCACGGACTTACTCATTGCAAATACTTTTCTTCAACAGCATGAAAGGCCACTGTA